ATTTTTTCATAAATTTTCTATAATAATTTGCAAGATCTTGAAAGAAGCAAAGTTCTGATATATTGATTAGTACTGATCAATCTTTAATTATGATAATCTTTCTTTAATTAACTAAAATATTATTTACTAAGATAAAATATCTAAGATATTTTATATACTACTGAATTATATTATATTTCTTTTACTTAATATATAATTTATATTTGTAAAATATTTCTAAAACTATCTGAAGATATTTATAAGTTCAAAAAATAGAATTAAGAACTTATAGTATTCATAGTAAGTTCTAAATACTATCTTGTAAATATCTTCTTTTGTAATGTAAATTTAATGATATCATAAATATAAATCTAGCTTTAAAAAATACTTTAATCCTGTAAGTCTATTCATTAACTTATTAACACTTGGTAATAGATAATGATTCTTGATAATGATTTTATTCAAAGCTTTATAGTTAATATATAGTCTTAATATACCTTTTTTTTTATATATAAAAAAACTGATACTCCAAATGATGAGATACTTGAACAAATGAAATCTTTTTGTATTAAATTAACTAATTATTTCTTGAGCTTATCTAACTTAATAAAGAAGAGTTTATAGATAGATCTGAATAGTGATTCAGATTCTGGAATGAGATTAATTTATAATTAATTATTTTTTTAAATGATAATTAATTTGATAAGATTTCTGGAAATAATATCTTTATATTTCTTCTTGATGTTTAATACTTCAGATGACAGTTATTTTTTTTTAATATTTTCTTTATTTTTAGTATTATTTAAGTATATGATAAAGAGTTTTATATCTGCTGGTAGGTTTGCAATTTGCTATCTTGAAATATAAATTAAATTACAACTTGATCCTAATTTTATTTCATTATTAACTTGTATTTTTATTAGATTTAATTCATAAGTAAAGGTAATAGTATTATTTCTCCAATCTATAGTAAGATTGGTATAAAATAATCAATATTTATCTAGGATAAGATTATATCTCTATAATTTCAAAACTTATACATCCATCTTATGTATTCAGTAAGTATTTAACTTTAACTTATTAATCTTTGCCATGACGATAATAATAATCTTTTTATTATCTGTGAGTTTAATAGTAATTGGTATAGTTTTCTGCAATTTTACTTTATTCTTCTGCATAAACTTTTTAATAACAAAGTTTTTTAAGATACAACTATCTAGCAAAATCTATATTAACTTGTCATTTACTTGGCTATTAAATTTTAATAGTCTTTCTCTATTATCTTTAAGATAAGTAAATTCAACTTTCTCATAAAATTATAAAGATTTTTCTTATTTATCTTTTATATTTGCTATTTTGATCTTTAATTTGAATAATAATTCTTGGTAAAGTGATCTGATTTGTCACAATTATAATATATATCTTTAGACTTATTATTCTTTAAATTATTATTATTCTTTCTATTATTATAATGACTTACTACTTGATCTAATTTCATAAGTATAGGACTATTATTCTGGTAACTTCTATATTATTTTTGTAAGTAATGATTATTATTATTATATCTGCTTGATAAATCTAAAGATCTGTCTTGTCTATATATTGCTATATTATAGTAAATAGCTAACTTTCAAGTTTCTTTTAAGATTTCTAATATCTGATAATTAACTTCTATCTTTATAATAGGTTTTAAATTTTCTATAAAATAGGTGACTTGATCTAGATCACTCATATCTATAACTTAGTCAACTATATTTCTGAATTTAATATCATTATCTTATACAAATCCTGTTTAATAAAGAAGATAAAGTTATTTATGAAGATATTGCTGATAATATAATGGTTAGAATACTTTCTAAGTATTATAACAAAATTATTCCAAATATTGAAAGAAGTTATATGATTATTAATTTTATATTTATTGAGATATCAGTATAATACTACATTAGTAAAGAAGATTGTTACATATTATACTTGAGTCTTTTCATCTGTAATTTCTTGGGCTAGAAATACAATTTTAGTTTATATTATTTAAACAAGTATATTTTTATTTGGCTCTTCAAAGTATATAGGTAATTTAACTAAGAAATAAGATAAAGACTTAGAATTAGAAGAATCATCTTTTTTTACTATCTTAATTAATTCAGTTATACTTGCCATAAATTATATAAATTATTCTGAATTGATTTTAATAAAATTAGTTTATTAAAACTAAAGTATATGTGTAGTATATATAATATATAATATATAGAAAAGTATTAGAGGGTAATATTTATAATAATCATATTTGCTACTATTAAGTTATAAGATTATTTATTAATAATTGTAAATAAGATAAAATATGATATAAATAGTATTAATTTTATAACTTATAATTATTTTTATTATTTAAAAGTATTTAGTTTTAAAGAGAAATTATAAAACAGACAGATCTTATTTATAATAAAAGAAATGAATACAAAAGATAAATAAATTAATAATGATTTCTATTTTTAAAATATATATAATTAAATAAATTAATTAACTTAATTTGCATCTTTGAAAAATAACTAATCATAATTTATTAAATAATAATAATTATAAATATAATAAATTAAATATAAATAATAATAAATGAAGAATAAATAAAATTATAAAGAAAATATTAATAATATATAATTAAAAATATTAATAATCTAAATTAATAATTGTGATATACATAGTAATTATTTGTATAATAATATACTAAATCTAATATATTAAATATATAATGATTATTTATATATTCAGAATAAAATTGATCTTCTTAAAAAGTAAAATAAAGCTAATCTATAATACAGATAATGCAAAATAAAGATTTGAGCTAAAAAAAAATAATCCAATCAAAATTATTATAATTATTAACAAAATAATTTTTATATTTTTTAATATTTTTATAAGTATATTTTTATTTAATATTTATAAGTATTATAAATATAAAAAGTAAATAGATACTAATCATGCTGATTAGTTTGATATATTAAATTTATAAGTATTAATTATTTATAATACTTAAATTTTTTTAATTATTTCAAAGATGTAAATATAATATCTTTAATTAATTATTAAGAAATATAATAATTTTTAACAAGATATTTTTATTTTATTAAATAAGAAATAGATTTCAAAATATTAAATTTTAAATTCAAATTTCTAATAAGATGAGTTTTTATAAATTTACAAACTTTATATATCATTTTTTTATATATTAGTTTATATATATATATCAAGTTATAATTTTATTCTTATATATTCTTTAATAATTATTGAAAATGAATAATTTTTAATCATTTCTATTTGACTAAATTTCTAATAACTTTTAATTATTTTATTCTATTAATTTCTAATAAAAAATATATATAATTAAAAGCATTTTTATATTATTTTACTTGAATTATTTTTGAAGAAATTATTCAAGTAATTTTAATCTTCACAAGATATAGATCAAATAATCATGTTCTTATTGTTTAATATTTTTTATTTGGAATATTTTTTTTATCAAATACTTGATTTCTAATACTTTATAAAATAACAGATAAAAATTTTCTAAGTATCATTATTATATATTCATATGAATCTCATCTTATTCAAATATTTATAATCAATTATCATTAAAATTCTTTATTAAAATTTCTAAAGAACAAGTTATATCAAAAAGATAACTTTATTTATTATTTAATATGAGATTTGATATTAAAGAAGTTATAATGATCAAAGATATAGCAAAGATAATAATTGAAAATATAATAAAGATAATAACTGAAGAGATAATAATTGAAAATATTAGAGATAATAACTGATAATAATTGAAGGCATAAACTAAATTAAAATGTGAAAAAATATTTTTTTCTAACATTAAAAAAAGAAAAAAAGATTACCGTAAACTCTCGAATTTAAGCAACCCCCTACGTCATCATTTTTTGATCGATTTTTTGTGGAGGTTGCTTAAATTCGAGAGTCCTTGTGCGTAACATCAAATTATGCATCGCAACGTTACGCAGATCGAATTGATCAATGTAAAAAATTTCAAATACCCCTGTCCTCCCAAATCCAAACTTTCATACTGCAAATTTTGTATTAATCTATGATATAATAGTTTTTGATAAAGGGGTTGCTTATTTAACTTTTTTTTAAGACTTTTGAACTTGAAGGGGGGGTTCCTTATTCTTGAGGGTTGCTTAAATTCGAGAGTTTACGGTAATATCTTTAATCTTTATAAAAATGAAATGAACAAATAAAAGTTAAATTACAAAAAAAATACTTATCATTATGAAAAACAAATCAAAATCAAAACAAAAACAAACCAAAAAATAAAAAAACAAAATGTTTATAATTTTTTTATCATTATGTGATATTAATCATCTCCCTCGATCAATCAGAATTTTATCCGTATTGACCAATGATCAGGAATTAAGTTGATATCATAATTGTTTTTGTTTGTAAAATAAAAGACGCGTTTGTGTTACAAATTTTTTATCAATTTCAAAAAACACACTAACCTTTCTAAGCAATGGCACCTGTCACAAGAAGTCAATGGAAGAAATTGAAGGTATTGAAGGAAGCAGAAGAGAAAGCGAAGAAATTGAAGGAAGCAGAAGAGGAATTGAAGAAATTGAAGGAAAAGAAGAAAAGAAAACTCGTGTCGTAGAATCCAGCAATAGTACTTCTAATAAAAAGGTATGGAAAGCTAAAAGTAAAGACTCAAAATAGATATGAATAATATTAATTCTTTATGTTGTTGTATTGTATATAAAGAAGAGAAGACATCGACCAAATAAAAGACAAAGATTTAGAAAAAAAAAGACAAACGAAAAATTCCAAAACCATGTCAGGCAATCTTAATTCCACTAGAGACATTTGTTGAGATATGTAAGGAGCTTCCGCCGGCCGACCTTCTAAGTCTTATGAGAACCTGCAAAACGTATCATTCCTGGCTATCTGACACAGGATCCGTCATGACTCAGGGAATCTGGTTCTTGTCCAGAAGAAAATTTTGTCCTTGCCTTAAATTACCACCACCTAAAGGTTTGGACGAAATCGCGTATGCGCGTTTGGCTTTTGAGAAAGGATGTCAATTATGCTGTGAAAAAAAAGCGAAAGTTTATTGGGCCTTTGCTGCTCGTTTGTGTGATACATGTTTCGCCATAAACACCATCACCAATCACGAGTTAAGAGAGGAAAAAAGTTTGGTAAACACAAATTTCCTTGCTGGTTTGCCATATGTTGAGTCACATTTATACGAACATGCAGTCTTGTTCCATAGTCCACCTGGTGATGATCGTAGGTTTTATTGACAGATGCTGTGTGGAAAAATAAGCGAACATATCAAAGCCTTCCTGCTAAAAAAAGGCATAAGTGGGCTGTTAAACAAAACCGAAAATGTCGGAGACTGATGAGACAGGTGAAAAAACGTGAAAGATTGGGTTGTCGTGAAAAATTGAAGGCAATATTCCACGCGAGACTTAACAACTTGGAACCGCCACCGGAAGATAAAGACACCTCGCTTAATTTAGTTTTTGATATCGATCTTCTTCGCCGATGTGTCAGTTTCCGAAGATCATATGGCCTCTCGCAAGAATTGATAGATTGGGCTTGGATCGAGTTGCGCAGAAGTTTGGTCAAGGAATATCAGAGAGTCTTAGGAGTAGGTCGCGAAGGTCGATAATACTCAATTTTACTCTCAAGTATCTATCTAACATAATATATTTATCACACTTTCGTCTGGAAATTTTAGAACAATGTCTTAAAAGAATTTTACGAATTCCTATTATGTATTTGTTTACGAATAATAAACTGTTTATTTTATCAAAACCATTATTTTCTCAATTGATATAGAGCGAGAAAAGTTGGTCGGTTAGCGATCCTATCGTAGTGAATTCTAATAAAATTCATGTTAATAGAGATCAGAGATGAACATCAGAAGTCTTGATTGCAATCAAAAATAAATATAATAATTGAATATCCGAATTTGCTAGAATTTTGAAATGATCGAAACATACCTAATTAATCGGGAAAATGCTTGTTACGGAATCGAAAACATAAAACTTGATATTCACAATATACAAATTCATAATAATTGATAAAGCTAAATGACTTTATCAGAGCGCAAATAATCTAAGACCTATCTTACCTCTTACATTATTTCCCATTGCCGACGTTGATCTTTAGTAACTGCTTCTGCATAATTTTACAAACTAATATCCATTTTCCTCAAATTAAACTTACATATATGTTTAATACCTCTATAACATATAATTAAAAATAGCTCTTTATAATTTAAATCTATACTCTTGAAAATTCAAGTATATTATAATAATAATAAATAAATAAATTTATTTTTTATTTCTATTTATTAATTTATTTGCATTTATATATTATGAGCTATTTTTGTCAAGTATTTTTTATCTCTTATTATTTGTATTTTAATTAGTAAAATATGTCCTTTTATTAATCTATGTTTTTATATTTTTTGCACTTTATCCAAGTTTAATAATCATTTTATATAGTTATTAGAATAAAATGTAATTTTGAAAAATATATAAATAAAAATGTTATTCTAAATAAAGAATTTTACATAGATGCTTACGAGCAGGTTCATCTTGTGGGATCTTTTGATTGTAAAGAAGAGATAACGATAAGAATTACAAGGAAAAATACTTTACGAGTTAGATTTATTGTTATGATATCTATACTATTCTCGTTCTTTATAATACACAAAACTCAACAATGGAAGACACGTGCCTTAAACATTGAGTCATCACACCTTTAAATAATAAAAGATTGAAAATAATAGTAACGTAGGTTTTTAGGATATATAAAGACGATAAATCTAGCAAATTCTTTCTTCAATTATTCGTTTTTTGTTTTTAAAACAAGAGCCCAATTTCCTACTTACTCGAAATACACCAAAATCAAAACGAAAATTTATGTTATCGATGTTGCGCCCGAACTAGATTTTCCACAAAGTATTCAAGGCTAAATTTTTTATTTACATAAATCATAAATCCATACAAAAAGCTGCCAAAAATTAAATTTTCCATGAGAGACTTACCGACTCTACCCAACAATAGCGGTGAAACTGCACAAGCATCTGTAAGTTCAATCGAAGAATTCCAAGCAACTATTGAGCTCAAGGTCAAATATTTTTCCTCCAACAAAGACCACCGCCATATCATTATACCGCAACCTGGGGATTTAGATTGCGCAATATTACTAATAATCATTATTAATGGTGCGAAACATGAGGTCTTGCCAGTGATGTAAAATGCAGTACTTTTTTAAACTCTGCTCACACAAAAAGAGAATAGATCAAAATACGCATAATTTTTTTAATTGAAAATGTTTGAAATAGCGAAAATCTAATTAGTCATAAATTTCACATTATTACGTGAAGACCATTTGTAACCGGGTTTTCTAGTTATTTAACATAATTTATATTAAAAAGAAAATTGCTTTAATTTTAGTAATGTTAATTTTTTACTTCCCTTGTGTATATACTCTTGAGTAATTCGCGTTGATTTGTGTAATGATTTCAACACAACTTTGTATTTAACACGTCATTTAAATTTATTTTACTACTGTTTAATGAACCAGCCAACCAGGTTGCCTTATAAATTGTCCCAAAACCTCCTTTTGCAAGATATTCAATGTAAATCTTTTCAAAAGATTATTCTTTATTTAGATTGTCAATAGTTTTTTATCTCCGCTAACGTTTATGATATTTGAAACATTCCCATTTCTTTGACACTAGTAACATTAATTACAATCATTGAGTATTGTGAACTTAAACATTAATCGCAGTTATTCATTACCTGTTTGATAGCAATAACTTTTACAATCATGAATATTTGACTCAATCTTGAGTTCACTTAATACAATTACATGTATAGTTAGTTACTCGCAAAAGAATTGAAAAGCAGGAAAAAAATGGCAAAATTTGAATAACTCGCCATTGAAGAATTACCATAGATAAAAAGAAAAAATTATTTTTGTTAAATAATAATCAATCATTTAACCACATTTTTCACTTTTTTTAGCTTTTCATTTAATATAACAAATTGCAAGACAATATAAATATTATTTTCTTTTAAAAAAATAATTGAATTTTATATTACTATTATATAACTCTATATACTTACCCTTAGCCTGAATCAGTAGTTATAAAGATATTAAGATTCAAAGTAATTAAATTATTTACTATATAATATTTATATTAATTTTAATCAAATTTTATATAGTAAAATTTAAGAAATAAT